AAAACTAGAAATTTGGAAAAAAATTTTTGCCCCCCCCCCCTCAAAAATTATATGCCTTTTCAAGGCCCCCCTTATGCATTTTATACTTTTTAAAGACCCCCCCCTCTTGTACCACTTGAAAATATAGTTTTGTATTGATGGCTGACCCGATTAGGACAAAGCTTAGGAGAGCAAGTGATCAATGAAGAGTATTAAAAGAGGTATAAAATTTGATGAAATTAGTTAAATAAATATTTTACAATCTATTTAGGTAGGTTACTCTATGGCCTATGCTTGTCTCGCCTACATCCACTTTTATATTATGTTTTTTTATGCTTTACTCGTTATGTTAATAAGAACAGCTAAAAGGCCTGTTCTTATGTAAGACGCGTCTTATCCAAGACGCGTCTTACATAAGAATTTTGTACCTTTTATACGACAAACTCGCGTCTTATTTAAGTCGCGTCTTATGTAAGTCGCGTCTTATTTTGTTCCGCATAAATGGCCCTATTGGACCAATGCATGAGACCGATTGCCCTTATACCAGCCCTCTAGGAACAAGAGTTAACTGTGATGGAGCTATCCAGTAAAAACACGGAGCAAGTTAAGCTAATTTTGGGGTGGAAAATGAAAACATTAAAAAATAACATTATTTTTACTTTTACAGAAAAATGTCAACATCGACCAGCATTGCACAATCGATGATCGTCAAAGAAGAAACACGCGACAACACTACATACATGTGACTAAAATAACTTTATTTATATACTGGATAGCTCGAACATTCACCAAACTGCTCCCCTAGAGGTCCAGTACGTATAAGGGCGATCTTCGCAGATCATCCGTTCAAATTCTCTACTTTGAGTCAAATGCCTAAATTGGATGCATCATTAGTTGAGATTTGTCTTTAACGATATAATTCAGTAATTAATTAATTAATTAATTAAATTAATTAATTAAATTAATTAATTAATCATATTTATTGGCGGATATAATTATTTAATTATATTTAATTGCTAACTAAACACTGAATTACATTCGTTATATATAGCCTATATGTTTGAACTAAAACGACAAAAATGTTTAGTCATTTTCTACTTTCGACTATTTGCCATTTGGTGTGAAGATGCACACAGTATAGGCTACAAATGAACTGAATTCATGATAGAAGTTGTATACATATGAATATTAATATTATATTTTGGACAATTAATTTTATGAGGTTAAGGCCTATTTTATACGTCGAATTTTGGTCGAGTCGAATGCAATTAAGACAATAGATAATGAGATGATAAACATCATTAAGCTTCATAATCTATTGTTTGAATTGCACTCGACGCGACCGAAATTCGACGTATAAAACAGGCCCAAGTATAAGTAGGTACAATCTTTACTGGACTAAATGTTGTCCTAAAGCAATATATATTTGCTCATAGCTGTAGAAGCAATTGAACCCGGATACATGTGATACAGTACAATATATATAAATAGATTGAAAACACGAATAGTGCATTCACATTAGACACAAATTTTTTTCTTATATCTTTAGTAACTCACGAGTCTTGAACAAAATACAAACGAAATTAATACAACAATATACGGTATTAATTTTCTTTGGCTTTGCGTTTTGCTCATGAATTATTGATGAGAAACAAATAATGTATATATACAATGTATATAAAAATGCTATAAATTGTAGCAGTATTGTTTCTAGTAGTAATCAATTAGCCAAGCCCAAGGTTAACATAAAATGTATAAAACCCTATATAACCTAGATGTATATAGGCTAGAATTGTTAGATATAACGATATATGTATATATCAATTACTTAAAGCAAAGTTAGTTTACTATATTTTTATGACGGATTTTTAGTAAAGCACTCAACGTGTTCTTGAGATCCTGATGGCAATTAATGTCAATAAATATATGTACAACAGCTTTGAAACTTCATGTGAATTGGTTTTGCATCTTGAAATAAAGAGTTAATATGAAAAATTACTCTACTGGACCTTTATAATGGAGAATCGTTCAGAACTAATAGTTAGTTTAGTTTGTAGTAACAATGTAGGACGTCTATACTATAATGGGGACAACAGTTTAGAACTAGTGATAGAACTATCAGATTATTGAAAAAATTTCCAAATCCCCCCCCCCCCCCCTCTCCCTATAAACCTGATGTTGACTTGTCGTCCAGTAATCAATGCTGTCATCAACATTATGCTGGGAGAGGGAGGGGGGGGAAGCAGGTAATATCTTTAGCTAACATGGACGTTTTATAAAATAATAACAACATGTTTTTTTTACACAATAGTAAGACATGACACGTTTTATAAAAAGGTCTACGGATATCAGTTATTTTCATGAGTGTAGTGTAAAAAAACAATAGTTATTTTAGTTTAACAAACAAGATTGGCTTAATGAAGAATTATCCTTATTTCAAACCTCAGTCTAGGGGGAACAATCGAGAACATATCCTTGTCCCAGCAGCTGGTAAATGTTTGTATTTAATATTAGACTATTTTTAAACCACTATATACACGTGGTTCACACCAGGTTCGTCTGGATATGAATTAGATTTTGGACAATGTTACCGGGACTATTTTCCATAGGCGTACGGGAGGGAAAAATTAAGGGGGAGGGGGAGAAAGATATTTGCCCGACTTTTTTGCCCGCCAAAACTTTCTTGGATTTTCGACTACCATATCTTAAAAATCTCTTGCATATATTATCTTACATATTTCTTGTCATTTTAAAATTTATTCCTCCATTTTGCCCAACTTCATCTTTAATTTAAAAGATTCCAGTGTGCAGCGCCCGATTCATGTGCAGCGCTCTAACCAACTGAGCTACAGAGAGACAGTTGTCGTCTTGTCGAGCTCTGATCACCATGCACAAGTTCATGAAATTACAATTAGGCTATTGCATGCTGGAGAAATCGAAGCACAGTCACAGGAATAAAAAGCACATATGCACGACTCTACAAGTATAAATGAAATCTTTGGTTTCCAAGTTCCCACAAGGATTAACTATTTTTTCTTCTCTTTGCACATTTTAATACTTGCGGAAAAGCCCTGAAACTGCTTAATTCTTTAAGCAATATCAACTTTCATTTCATGCCAAAAAAGGCAAACAATATGTTTTTTTATGAATTATTAATAACTTTACCGGAGATACTTCCACGCAACAACAAGAGGTATTTGTGATTTACAGGTTAAAAAATGCGGATATAGAAAGTGTTTTTTTTTTCTTCAAAAAAGGCCAAAGGGTTATACGTGCACCATATCATCAACTTATAACTTCCTAGTGTTATTATCAAAGGATAGAGAATTTTAAGAGGTCTTATAACTACATGAAATCAATATATGATCAGCACGCTAGCTGCAGTTTTTTTCTGATTATGCTGGAATAAGGGACGATGACTCATATATTCAATTGGTTTTCGTCTAAAATTTCTTTGCTCTGTTTCAAATATTTTTTGGCTTATACCTCATGAGTGCTAATTTAATTTGTAAATAAACTGTAATGGCGTGGTGTGTTCACACGTAAATTCTGTCGGCATTTTTTTCGCCGTCAGAGTTAAGGTTGAGAGAGACTTTAAACTATATAGGTTGTCATAAACACAGTATATGATTTGCATGAAATAATTCTATCGTTTATACGTTTAACAATGACTCAATAGTATAACATTTTACATAATTTTAAGAACCTCATCAGGTCAGCTAAGATTTTCATTCAGATCCATGGCATTTTACATCAGATATGTTTAAATGCACAGTTCAGCCTTTTGAATGATGAAAAAAAGGTTGTCCTTCAAAAATCTTACTGAAACCTTAAACATTGAGCGCGCAAGGTATGATGGGTAGCTTTCTAATTCGAGTCTTACAGATACTAAAATTCGATCGACTTGAATTCTTTTATATGTTATACTATACGGCTTGAGTACTAATATTTTCAAATGCATATATTAAACTGATTACGATCAGTTTTTTGAATGTTTAAATATTTCCAATTTCAAGTGGACTAGACATGTATCTCTAGGCAATGGTCAAGAGTTCCTCAAGACACTCATAATTGTGCACGCGATTTGCTCCATTTTCTGCTTCTAAGGGACCGGTCATTAAATATGGCAAGGGGGGGGGGGGGGGGGGGGGGGATGGAGGAGAAACTAGAAATTTTGAAAAAAATTTTGGGGCCCCCTTAAAAAATGATATGCCTTTTCAAGGCCCCCACCCCACCCAGTGTTCCAGTTTAAAGGGCATTTTATGCATCTCTTTTGGCTGTTCATAGTATATAACGAGAAACAATCCTTTTGTTGGGAAAAATCCGAAGACCCCCCCCCCCCTCTTTCACATAATGTAATTTTCAAGTCCCCCCATCTCAATGAAAAAATAATTCAGGACCCCCCTTTCTCCTCCATCCCCCCCTGCCATATTTAATGACCGTCCCTAAGTTAGCCTGATTTCATATCTATAAATTAATGAAATTCGTACGATGTATATTCGAAGGGTACATGCATGGGGCGCATCTTGCGTCAAGTATAAAGAGATTTGATTTTCTACATAGAAGCCAAATTCTTGTGCATTTTTCATAAGAGAAGTTTTTCTATATTTTTTGAACCCCTAGGCTTAGGAACTTAGTATACTTACTATAGACACCATTACAACGTACATATACAAAAACGTCAACTGGCATTCATTCAGAAATTAATGTGATTTTTTTCTTCGTAAGTCAACGTTTTGCGTTTTGGAAGCAAATAAATAAGAGGGATTTAAGACTCTTAATATAATATAAATAATTGGTTTGCTATTGTCTAACACTCTTTGTTAACTCTACATAGTTAAATCTGTTCACATATCAAATCATAAAATCTAACTATGTCTATCATGAATAAAATAATGAAATATGCATGTATCCAACATGCATTTGAATTTTGAAGCAGCAAACTCTTATATAGTAACTTATGATTAAATCAATCATTATATAATAAAGCTTCCGTAACTTCAACAACTGTGGAAAAACTTGGATCAAAATACATCCACGTAACACAAACACTTTACCAAGGCACTTCAGCTTTCATCGTTGCTAGCATAATATCCACTTAAGCACTTGACTAATAATATAGATCTAACGTTCAAGTGCTAATATCCTTACAGGCATATTTCAATAACTGAACACTTGAAAATCAATTATAAAATTGGAGATAAAAATCATTTGGACACGACAGTACAAAACTAGTCATCCTTGGTCTGTATTTCCCACAAATGCGCACACATTTGAGGGAATCATGTGGATTATCGAACGCAACTCAAATTACACGCAATGGTTAAAGATTTAGCATTTTACGCGCCGATAATACCTCGCGTGTTACTTGTTTTGCGTAGCTCAAGTATGGATAGTTAAGTGATTCAAGTGTGGATTAGTGATATGGGAGGGCAATCAATTAAACCCACTTCTCGTCACGAAAAGTAAAGGCGGAAATAAGGTGAAACCTTGCATGTGTCGCGCACTTGAAATATGAATAGAAGAAAATTGAAAACGGATCTTGGTTGCAGGAATATAATTGAAACACTTAATTCGACATCACGAGAAAAATGTTTAAGTTTATAAGAATTACTCCAATTTATGAACTAATTATATGCTCAATTTTTTGGGTAGTTTCAAATTTACTCAATATAATAATAATAACTTTATTCATAACAAAATACCAATACTGGTACATAATGAATACATAACATTGTATAAAAAATATTAGATCACAAAATCGTGAACTAGTATACTATAACTGAACAGGATATATAAAATACTGAATTATTTTATAGTTGTTCAACGTTAGTCAGTACATCAAAGCAATATTTAGCTGCCAAATTATTGATGGTTTGTCTTTCATTGCAAGAATATATAGATAAGTCATGATTATTAAAATAACTAAAGTCTAAACGAGTGGTTTATCTGGTTAAGCTTATATAAAAACTTCCCTGATATTAATAAATTTTGCATTATTGCACTGCATTAAATAATGTTGTTCGTTTCCTACCTCGTTTAAATTGCAATGCTGACATATTCTTTCATCATATGGAACATTGCAATATCGACCTGTTTCAACAGGTAATCTATGAGCCGAAATTCTGAGCTTTGTAATAGCTTGGCGATGCTTAATATTGCCAATTTCAGCACTATATTTTTCAAATTCGAAATTTATTTTTAATGTTTTGAATGTGCTTAGTTTGCCTTGATTTCCGCTTTGCTGAATATTGTCTTTCCAGTAATCAACAAGCGCTCTTTTAAAATATTTTTCAAACAATGGCAAAAGTTTTCCAGTTCTTTTTGAGGTATAATGAAATTTTTAAGGCTATGAAAATTTTAAGGCTATGTTTATGATTTTTAAATTTTCTATGAAATTTTTAAGGCTATATGTTTATGATTTTTAAATTTTTAAGGCTTTTATTTTTTATATTTTTTTATATATGTTTTGAGTTGATTGATTTGGCTTTAATATAAAAAAATGAATAAATTTGCTTATAAAGTGGAGAAATCAGTAATGATACTCGAGGCAGCATTATTTTACATAAGTGTTTGAGTGAATTTTTTTGCAGTGCAAAACTTCGAAGTTTAGGCCTTGATGAAGGCATGCATGCACATTCGTGAACATTTTAAGTATCCAAATGTTATTTTAAAACTTTTTAAAGTTTTACCATGCCGGTTTTTTAAAGCCAGACCATGCCGGGAACTATAGGAAGCAACTAACATTTAGTTTTCTTACAGTAATAAGAAATTTGTTTAGGTTCTTTCTCGACCCGTCTCAGGCGACAAGTATAACCAGTTTTTATACATATCGTTTGTGAAAATCGCCTGAAATTAAAAGTATCCAAATTTCATTTTAAAACTTGGTGCGCGAAAATTGGTACCACACAAATCGAAAGTTGGTATAGCACATGAATATAAATGCAGGTCTAACACAAACCGCCCTTGCTTGCTAACATACCCAAATACAAGG